GAGGTCCCGGGCAAACAGCCACTCAGCCTGCACGGGCCAGCATGTCTGGGAAGAGTTACAGATCTGGTAAACACACTATCTTCAAAGGGTCTGAGATCTTCAAACATACAAGGACAAGAGAAAATGATGATAATAGTAGGTATGAAAGGTGTGAAGAAATTGAAGAGAAAAAGGTGTTATGGGCTTCAGACACATTTCAGGACAGATGTGCTCCTAAAGATTGGTCTGATGGGATCAATCCAGATCAATGAACTGCTCAGAAAAAGTGGATTCCCTTTGACTGTGCTTGCCCAGGTTTCCTTCTTGAGAAAACCAGTCCTTGGGCAAGGAGGGGTTGGTACACATCCAGGCCCTGCTCCAAGCTTGGCCACTGGGAGCTTCTGGTCATGGGTTTTGTCAGTTTTATAAATCAGGCATATTGTGGAAAGCATGCACAGATTATGTTGACTTGGTCTGTCTTATGTACATCATTTGAAAAACTCTATTGAATAAATGCGTTAGGGAACAGAATTCAGTGTTCAAGTGTTTCTCTTAGAGAAAACCTGCAGTGTTATAGGTATGCATGTTAAATGACTTTTCAATGCTTGCCACCTTCTAATTTCTTTTAACTGAAGACTGCTCTAATTGTCTTTCTGTATTTTACAGCTGAGAGTTTATGCCCAGCCACTGCAAATACATACAGCAGAATATGCAGCAAATGTAACAAAAATTGTATTCGACTTCTTTGAAGAGTACTTTAATTTGAGCTATTCTCTTCCAAAACTAGGTGATTATTAGTACTTACATTTTTCACTTTGTTAATTCACTGTCATGGTTATGTTTCTTCTACAGATCTCTCTGCTTTGGTGGAAAACAGCATGAAAGCTTTTGGTTGCTAACTGCTGATATTATTTCGCGTTATTTTAAAACTGTACCCATGTAGTTCAAGATGGTCTTAAACGTCATGATGGGAGGGTTTGTCTAAGTAACAATTTAGTTACCAGTTCTCACAGTTCAGTTTGCTGAACTGAAGCACTGGTCCTGACATGGTTATTTTAAAGTGAGCCAAAATAAGAGCCAGAAGAAGAAAAATATGTACCACTTCCATGGGAACTTCTAGACAAAGGTCAGCAGTGAGATAAGTGGAGATGTAAACTGCCAGAGAGTATGTCATACTATTTATTAACCTTAGTGCAAAGTGGGTGTGTATTCACTTCTTAGAAAGATGAATGTGGTCCAGCATGTAATTTGTAGTTTCTACTGCTGGGCTAAATAAAGACCCAGAGCTAAACAAGAGTGGGCATACTATCAAATTTTGCCCATGGTTACAAAAAAAGCAAAGAAAAAGAAGTGTAGTTGGGCATTGTTTAGCTTGGACTATCTGGACTCTGGATCAGATTTGTGCAGTTTGAACTAATAAAGTTGGGAATGTAATCAGAGTTTTGGAAATGCCCGCTCCTAAGACCTCCAAAGAGGTAATTCAGTTAGATTCATCAACTTAAAAGGATGGAAAAATAATAACTACAAACAAGTCAAAGCAATGTAATGGGGGGAAAAAAGAAACAGAGCTTTGAAGACAACGAACAATGCTGTGCAAATCTTTTTTTGTCTATTCATACGTGTACCTGTCAGGCTAATCTGTACTACTTTAACAACAGATTTTTACCTCCTCCTTTTAAAACATCATCTGAGTTTGCTGTAAATATCTGTTTGCATTTCAACGACAATTGAATTAGGGAAACCAGTACAGTATGCTATTCTTTTGCACACTGGTCCCCAGTAATAATTGGGACTATGTCTTACCTATGCTTCATGTTCAAACTTTCATTTCCATAAAAGCCTGATGACTTTGTCACGTCAGCATATGGATAGCGGGCTGTCTGCCCTAGGGTGGACTGGTAACCCGAGGTCAGCAGTATCAGAGAGTAGATGCTTTTGCAGGTTTTATACTGGTTTTCTCAGAATGCCTGCTGTTTTGGATCACAAATCTTGACTTACTATGTGGTTCCCTCAGTATTAGAAGTCATCTAGATCAAACCTGATGACTCAAATATGTTTCTGCATAATGGTTTATTTAAATATTGTATTTCACATTGATTTATGGCTTCTGGCATTGCCATTCTCCTTGTGATCCTCATTTTGACTGTCAGTGAAGCCCTTGCCAAACTATCAGCTTCGATTCTGTAATCAAGTTGTTTAAATTAAAATAAGTAATTCCTATCTTCTGTTAGAGTGGAGTGAAGGTTGTTTGTTCTATTCAGTTTTAAATCCATCAGTACTTTTCTGCTAACCCACATAGAAAGGCTGTGGTCATTATTTGCAGAAGAAAATGCTGGTCCAATTGAGTCCGCAATTCTCATTTAAACCTGTATTGATTACTGACCATAAATAAGTGACCCCCACAAATTACCAGGCATAGAAGCAGATGTTGTTCACTGCATGGGGGATTTACTTCCGTTAACATGTCAATAAATATTTTTAATAAAATGGTGTGACAAACAATGACATGCCTCATTATGCTGCAGATAGTTTCAGGAGGTTTACTGCCTACAGCACATCCCCAGACAATACTATTAATTTCTGGAGCCAAAATTAACTAATGTATGACACGCACACTCCCAGGAGATGGCACAGCATCACCTCGCAGGACAGATCCTCAGCTAGTGCAACTGATCCTAGCTCTATTAATCTCACAGAGCCGGGGCGCTTGCTACCAGGTGCTGTAGCCCAGTCCCCTGCTTCTCAAACACAGGTTATAGACTGCAGTCCACAGCAGTAAGCCAGAACCACAAATGGTAAGCAGAACCGGCTGTGAATATGCAGAAAGAGCCCAATCTAAGTGGCTTCAAGGATACAGTGGTAATCATGTTCTCTTTCTTTCAATATAGATAAAATAGCTATTCCAGATTTTGGGACAGGTGCTATGGAGAACTGGGGGCTGATCACATACAGAGAAACAAACCTGCTGTATGATCCCAAGGAATCGGCCACTTCCAACAAACAGAGAGTAGCTGCTGTGGTAGCCCATGAGCTCGTTCATCAGGTACATTTTAAAACACGATTCATTTTTACAGTGCTTCAAATGTGTAGTCGCAACATTTTAATCTTGAAAATCTTTTCATTAACTCTGTCTCAGGACCCTCTACGTGTGGTCACAATTTGATGGCAAAATATCGTGTTCAAACAGTTCCCCATTAGGGTTCTAAAGTACCAGAAATACTACCTTTGAATTTTTCTCAGGAAAATTCAGAATGCTTGGGTCCAGATTGTGAGCCAGCTTATGAATATCTGTCTAAAATGTCTTAAAGGAGCTAATTTGCATGTGCAGATGTCTCTTTTGGGCAAGCAAACAGGGACAACTATGCACTGTGGAGGCTGTATGAAAACATATACTTACAAGCACAAATCATCAAATCAAGAGGAAGAAACTAAAAATATTTTCAGTGGCACATGAATCATTAGCAATCCCCCCCGTAATATGTAATTTTATAATAAAAGTGGTGGTTTAACACAAGGCAAAGCCTGAATTCCTATTTAAACCCCAGAATTATGATAATTTTCATCTGGCAACAGGAAGAAATGTGAACAAATGCATGTTTTATGTGGAGATGTGAGGTACTGAAATGTACATTTACTGTTTAGCTAACACTACATCTTTCAATGTTTATAATTGTAGTGGTTTGGAAATATTGTGACCATGGACTGGTGGGATGACTTGTGGTTAAATGAAGGATTTGCCAGTTATTTTGAGTTCCTGGGAGTAAATGCTGCAGAACCAGATTGGCAAATGGTAATTATTTCTGTTTTGTGGAGGGTCGGTGGGGCTGGGGGGAGCATTTTGGAAGGGAGTAAAAATTACACAAGGACAATGAAGACTCAAAGTATATTTATAGAAAATTAACATAGTGCTGTGCAAGTTAAAGAAAAAGTTGGTTTAAGCCTTTCCACCTACCTATGTTATGGTCTGAAACTAGTCAAAATAAACTTTGTAAAGTTTTAGTCTGGAGGGAAGAGTCATTCTTTTTTAACAAGTGAGTCAAGTGTTTGGTTATTATTATGGCAAATAATACCTAGGTGGATTCTGGAAACAAACTTAGCAATTTTGCAAGGTTGTTTAAAGGTCTAACCCTGGAAGATGGAAATTCCTCTTTATTTATTTAGTTGGGCTGTAGTGTCTCATCACTGGACTTGTCTTAGGATCCTTATCTGACCTGGTGAGGGTTGGGAACCTGGGCCTGTCTCCACAGCTTGGGCTATTCATCAAGGAAAATACCAGAACCCCCATTCAGCTGCTGCCAGCATTTTAGGTATCATTTCAAATGCTCCAACTTAGACAATCCCTACTCCGCACAGCACAAAAATAGGTAGTGACAGTGGATGGCCCACAATGCTAACTGTGCAGCAAAACCAACTCCAGTCACTTTAAGGGGGTTGCAGACAAAGAGGGTAGCCTTAAATATGCATTATATTCTGAGGAATGATAACAGTGTGTGAATAAAGGGAGGTTTTCTGCTCTCTCCTTCCTCACCTCCCAAACAGATGTGATGGTGCATAGAATGCATATTTCCCCCAACTGCCCAGCAACAATGAGATTCTGGCTACTAGAAAATATATAACATATGTTGGTGGAAGGAAGCAGGGTAGGTTTTGCATAGGTTGAGCCTGTTGTCAAAATCTACTAGCCCCTGAGACTAGTGTCTTTAGAAGCAGATAGTGCCTATTTGGTGCTTCCCCTGCTTCCCTCCCTGCTCCCCATAAACATCTCTTCTCATCCATGTTATGCAAGGCTGAGAACAAAATCATTCCTGGATCACTTCTTTTACACTTTGAAGTCAGAGATCTATTGTGCTGCCTACATAAACAAAATTTTAGTCACTGAGCCTAAAATTTAAAAGATCTTTTTGTATCTAGACACCATGTTCATTTAAGATCTAGAGCCATTTCAGTGTTATCGTCATAGTGAGTATTAAAAGAGGAAAACTAAGTATGAATGTACTCTTTTTTGGTCAATATTGATAAGGGAATTTTAACTATTAATCACTTTCATCTCTTTAAAAAATTATAATCACTTTTTTAAAGTTATAACCCTTGGGATGAGGAAGTCTGCCTCCTTCATCCCTCCTTCCCTCCCTCCCTCCTTACCTTCCTCCCCAGCTCCATTTTTGCAAGAGAAGCCCATAATGCTTTGCAGATATTGTCACACTACTGAAATTTTTAATACAAACTCCTTTTTTGCCTACTGAGTGGGGGTTTTTGTGTTATGATACACACAGAAAAACAGGATTTGCAAAAGGTAATTTATCTTAGTTAAGGAAAAATTTATCCCTCCTCTCTCAGATGTAAAGTAAGTGTTTGCAAGTCCTTTTTCAGAAGAAGTGAAATTTCATTACATTTCCAACTGCCTCCCCCTGGAGAAGCTGCAGTTCAAGCTACTTATTTTGTGAAGTTAAGCATATAGTCCTGCCTTTGTTTCTATTCTAACATCTTCTCTTTCTCAGCTTGAACAGGTTTTAATTGACGACGTGCTTCCTGTAATGAAGGATGACTCTTTGCTGTCTTCCCACCCGATTGTGGTCGATGTGTCATCTCCAGCTGAAATCACCTCTGTGTTTGATGGGATATCCTACAGTAAGGTAGGGTATCCTCCTCTTGTGACTTTGGATACAAAGAAAGTGGAGGCTTGGGAGAGGAGGCAAATGTCAGGGGAGCTCGTAATCATAACTCCTAACCCCCTTGGGCTGTGTCTCTGAAGATCTTTTTTCTGGGACATTCCCAACTGTTGTCAGTGACGATTCAGTGCAGCCAGAGCCCCAGTCAGCTGCTGTGTGCCCTGCAAACCTGTTCACAGCATGCAGGGCAGCAGGGAAATCAGTGTCAGCAGATTCTGGCACTAGAGTTGTCGGGTTTTAAATTATTCTAAACCAGCTACTAAGCACAATCCTCTCCCATCACCTCGTGCTCATGCAGCCCAGTTATATCAAGCCTCATAATCTAATGCAAGGACAGATGATGCAAGGGCAGATGTCTAGGTGTTCTCTCTCTCACTTCCCCATCACACCTTCGGGGCAGTATAATTTCTATTTTGGGGAAGCAAGGCATGGAATCAGGCAGTGAAAACAGGAAAGTAACGTTTTATCTCATGTTGCTCACAGTATCCCAGCCACCCAAGAAGCCCCAGCGAAGATGGGCTACCACCAGCCTCTGCTGGCATTGCCCCCAGATTGGGAGATAAGTTAGCCCCACATTTCACTGCGAGTTGTGGAGCACAAGACTGACTTGGAGTACAGTAGTCTGTAGCCTAGGAGGTGGTAGAGGACATTCCATTAAGTATTTGACAAGTTTTTTGCTCATCCTTGGGCTGTCCCTGTCAGTGGTGGTGGGGACCTGTGCTATAAAGTCTCTTTCAGGAGCCAGCTAGGAGCCAACTGGAAGAATCCCTTGGGTCTTGGGTCAGCCATCTCCCAGACCGTGTTGCTTCTGACCATGATACACCATGTTTGTGTTGACAGATTCTTGTATGACTCTGTCAGTGTTTCCTATCTGATGCCATAACAAATTTCCACTAAACACACAAAATCCACCATTATTAAAATCTACTTGTTGCTTTCTCTCCAAGTTCCCATTATCAACTAAACATAAAGTATGTATTGCATTGCCTTTAGCTTTAGCTGTGCTAGAATCTGTATCCATAGATATTACTTTTAGTATCTAGACTTGATCCATCCATTTCCATCAAGTTTTCTGTTTTCAGTTCTTAAATCCTCTAACAATACAACCAGTATTTATTGCATCATAAATGTCTCACAGTCAAATCATAAACTATGTGAAAACCTGCATTTTGTAACAGTGTTCTTATATCAGCTAACAAAAGTCAAGAAACATACAGAGCTAAACCAAATACTCTGGACAAAAATGTATTTTAGTGGTGAGCTAAGCAAGAGACACGCTTTTGTATGGTCTGAAAAAACAATGGAGAAAAAAATCCCTAGCTTTTACTCATCTCTTTGTGCCTAGATATTTGCTACATGAACTCATTTTTTTTAAGCGAAAACACTTGAGGACTCATGCATTGTTTGGGAACAGTCTGCTTGGGATATAATTTGGCTTGGGATATAATTTGGCTTGAATGAGAAAGTCTTCACGTAGATTTAGCTCAAATTACTGTTGGTATTTATATATAAATGCGTGACAAAATTAACTTGGGTTTTTTCGGCTTTATTTTGGCTTCTCTTTTGCATGTTTCTTATAAAAACAATCTCCTCATGATATTATTCATCACTAAACAAATAAAGCATCATTTGGAATGCTCTCTGTTAGTTTTACCAGAGCAATTACAGGGTCTATACAATCCTAAAACTCTAATGAATTGCTAAAGGGTCTGTAGAGTTATTGTGGTATATTCTGTGAGGGAACCTCTAACTGCTGTATGATCGGTGGGGCATTATGCGCCTCGGAAAGATGTACTGGAGTAGAGCTGGTGACTACACAATTAATGTATGCATTGTTTTTAATCCACTCTTAAAAAGTAATTGTATCTTAACTCTTTCC